AGGCAACGTATACACAGAACTTAAACCGTCTTAACTCTGTATAACATAACCAAAGTTCTATGGAGAAAGTTTTATATATATTTTTGAGGGCCTATTCATAAAGAGAGCTTGTGAAGTTTACACAGAGTTAATAAACGTAAAACTATATTGTTTGTCTATATTGCGCTTAACCTTTGATGAAGAAACACAAATCATTCTAGAACTTATTTTATATTGATTATCACACAAGGTGTTGAAATATTTTATATAAAATATAATAGTGTCACGATAATAATTAGTCTATATACTTTATTTTTTGGATCGTCATCAGTTATACAAGATTTGATGAAAGGATGAAGGAAAAAAAAAGGGAACAAAGAATAGTGACGGAATCCCATTTGTCCAAGAGCTAGTGCGATGAAGTAAAAGAATAACACAAAGTCAGTCAACTCGATGCAATCATAATTATCGGCAATGGCAATAGAGTGATTTTTAAAAATCAATCATAAATTTTGGTAAAGAAATTTGGATCCGTGCTCGAACAAAACAGCGTTCTCGATTACATGTGGATCTTGCGTTGCAATTCAGTAGGGAGGATGAGCGATTTCTCTTAATTGACATCTGTGTGTATTGTGTTCATCTTGGACGAACGGTATGGTCGTGTTTCTTGTGACGTAAGCACGACAATTTAGCTTTCACTTGGTTTGAATCTTGTTTTTCTAGCAACTCTGCGCTTGCTCTGAGACTCACTTTAAAAAAATTGCCCATTTCGCCATTAGGAATGTATGAGAGAAGCAACAATTGTAGAGAGAGAGAGAGAGAGAGAGAGAGAGAGGGCAAGGGGGGGGGGGGGGGTAATGTGATAAAGGGAGAAAGAGAGTAAGATAAATGATGATGAGGAGAGAGACAGACACAGACAGACACACAGGCATACAGAGAGGGGAAGAGGGGAAAGAGAGAAAGAGACACAAAAGCGAGAGAGAGAGAGATAGAGGAGAGAGAGAGAGAGAGAGAGAGAGAGAGAGAGAGAAGAGAGAGAGAGAGAGAGAGAGAGAGAGAGAGAGAGAGAGAGAGATTGGGATGTATATAGAATTGCAGACACTTAGCAAAAGACATGGAGACCGAAATATACAGACGAAAAATGATAAAGAGTATAAAACGCAAACGAGATGGAAAAGAGTATGGGATAAAGGGGAACGATTGAAGAGGAACCTTCCAAGAGAAAGGGGGAGGGAGGAATATAACAATGGACAGTAAAAGGTTTAGGAGAGAAAACCCTAAAGACAATCTTGTGAAATTATACGGAGAACAAATAAGGTGTGATATGAAGAGAGAGCGAGCTGATAATTGTTTAAGGAAGTGATCGAGCGAGAGTGAGAAAGAAAAAAGAAGAAGAGAAGGTCCATGACAGAGGCAGAAAGGGAATGAAACAAGAAGAGACAGAAAGGGAGACAGAGAGGGGGAGATGCAGAAGATTTTATATAGAGAAAAAATGGAGAAAAAGGGAGAGAGAGAAAGAGCTGAAGCGAGATTGAAATGGGTTGCAGTTGTAGCCCAAGGCAATATTGCATTTTAGACAATATCTTTGAAGTAGATGAGCACGGTTCGTTAGCTGCAGCGGCAAGGAGAAGACGTTTTTCCGAAACTTGAAGCGAAAACATTCTAAAATCGAATCAATCTGTTTATTAAGGGTTTGATTTCACTTTACTTTGTGCGCTAGAAACCCTAAAGTCACAAAGTAGTTTTTCTTTGTAGAGAGGTAATTTTATTTTTGACATCTAAGTATTTCACTTTATCAATAACGTTCCCTTCCTCTAATTAGTTACCCTTTTTGTATGTTACCATGGTTATACTAGTGAAATGTCAAATTAGGATTGATATGATTAAGGACAGTAGAAGAAGTGTCATTTTGATAATGACATAGATATGATCAAATTCTTGATATTAAGATAAATGCCTTAAAAATATATTTTCTTGAAACAGGTTGCGTAAAGATTTGTCCAGAATAAAAAGGAAATTAGCACAAGGACAATGATGTTCCATTTCTAGATATAGGATTTAAGTATCATAAGTTATCGCAGGCAATGAGAAATATTGTTTTTAATTTATTAGTAAACTCAAGTTAATTGCAGAAAAGGCTGTTCATAGTTGACCTATACCTTATTTTTCTCACAATTATAATGCAAAAAATAGTGTTGATGATAATTAATTTTAATTAGAAAAATACAGTTACCATCATGAATTGAATTGATGAGTTAATGGATATACTAAACGTCTAATTATGAGAAATCAGAATATCTCTTGCTCAAATCTCTTTGACATTTCATGGTTACACAGTCTGTCAAAATTAGATTCATAATTTTCATGACATCAATTGAGACCATTCATTATTATACTGCATGTTTTGAGTGAATAAGGCTGCCAAGACGGAATTTCTACTCCCCTCCGCTACCGTTTTACGTTACTGGTAGGCCTCTGTTAGCGAATAATAACTTTACGTCAAATACATGCTATGACTTACCGGTACAAACGCATTCAAGTGTACTATAAACATGATTTTGAATTCAACAAACTGTATCCAAAACACATACATCGCAAAACCAGCGTTACAGCTTCGTTGGACAAATTATGTTTTAAAATTCATGTAATTATGCTTTCTCCGTATGTGTCTATTCAAGCATGATGCATGCATCATCTAGTAATAGCTTTCGCTTGAGTAGAGATCGGATGAAGTTAGGTCAATATATCTTGCTTTATTGTCCGCCGATATACTGTAGCCTTGATGGCTGACTATGTTTGGTACAACAGTTACTTAAAGGAGCAGATCGATCTAAAGCTGACTATTTCCACGTGTCCACACATGATTGTTAAAGTTACAGATTTATTTTATTTTTCAAAGAATGGAAGATAAAAAGGAAATGGATTTCTGAGGAAGGTAATTTGACGTTCGAAGGCGAAAACGGATGTTTATAAGTTTAATCGAAATAACGAGAATTCTATTTAAACGATTGAAATTTCTTCTCTATTATGTCTCTGATTTTAACTATAAAATAAACTTTGTAGCCTTTATGTTGCAAAGGTACGTAATTTGTAAATAGAGATTTTTGTTTTATCAATTTTATAATATCTTCACCACTATGCCTATATGTCTATGAAGTAACATTTAAAATACGTTTAATATTTTCAAAATAGTAGAGGAGTGGAAATTTGACAAATGAGAAGAAGTAAGAGGGGAGTAAGGGAGTAGAAAGAAATAATCCATCATAATGTTTATACTACAATAAACAGAGAAAAGATTGACAAACATTAAAAAGACATAATTTAATATAAATGCACGACATTCAGGAACGAGGAACGATAATGAAATTATACTGGATAGTTGCAACGGGAATGTGCAAGTGGGATGCAGTATGATTGTTACAGCGGCAGTATCACACAAAGTCACGGTTGTAAAAAAAAAAAACCTACATGTATTGCCGGTTTTCTCGCCATTTTGCATTTACCAAGATGCAAGGCAGATACGGCAGGTAGTAATATGCATATGGAATTAGATTATCGGAAATTGATGCGAGCATGTCGACCTTGTAGAACTGCTTAAGTTCTCCCCCCCCCCTCTCTCTCTCTCTCCCTTTCTCAAACATATCTATCTCCATCTGTCTATCTCTCTCTCTCTTCTCTTTATCTCTGTCTCTTCTCTTTATCTCTGTTTTCTCTTTTATTCTTTCTCTTTTTCTTTCTCTCTTTCTCTCTTTCTCCTATCTTTCTTTCTTTCTCCCTTACCTCCCTTATTTTCCTCCTTTGTCTCTCCTTATCCCATTCTGTCCCTCTCTGTCTCTGTCTGTCTCTCTCTCTCTCTCTTTCTCTCTCTCTCTCTCTCTCTCTGTCTCTCTCTCCTTGCTCCCCTTCTCTCTTCCTCTCTCTCTCTCTCTCGTTCGCTCTGGTTCTTTCTGCCTCCCCTCTCAGATTATCTTTCTTCCTGCCTCTCAGTCTATCTATCCCCCTTTTCTTTTTTCCTCTATACTCAATTTTAACTATGTCACTCCTGTCTTGTCTCGTCGTTTATCCTTGATAATAAGAATGGCAAATTGAATAAATATAATTGTAATTTACCAACAGCTATCCGATTGTGACAGAATAAATTATGATGAAAGCTAAGTAACCTTTCTTTAATTCGCTTCAAATTGAAAATCATTTCAAACTACTCCCTGCTTGATTGCGATTAAAGAGAACGAACTTTCGCAAACACGTGTTCTTATTTCCAATGCTAAAGACTCATTATGTAACTGCCACGAATACTTTATTGTAAATCATCTGATGAGTTCATACAAATAATGGTATCGCAAGCCGTTATACTGACTTTATAATAAGACCATGCGCAATAGATGAATTTCCACTCAGTTTTCAAATTTGATAATATCATAACTGTTTGTGAATATTTATAATTTGCTGAATAACAAAAACAAAATCTAGCACATTTTTTTTCTTCTAAGATTCGCTTAATTTTGTTCATGTATTTTTTTGAGAATGATAATTCTTTTAATTATTCTTTGCTAATTTTTCAATTCTGGACATTGAAAAACTGGTAAAGACTGTTGTTTGCTTGACTAAAGGACAAAAATATTTATATATTTTTCATTTTTTTTATTTCCAAAAACTTCTTCCCGTCTTTTTTAAAAACACATGGTTTGTTTCGTCAGACTTGTTGATTAAGGTGATGACAGTTAATTCTTATATTAACTTGAAATAAGTTTTATCCATTTTATTTACACTTAACAAAAAACGCGTCGGCTTTTTTTCGGTGGTTTACCGCGCCATTATGTTGTCATTATTACATTTGTGTAACATGTTCATATCTACGGAGGACGAAAAACCGAGCTATTCTAGCTGGGATCCTTTATAGAAATATATTCCTATTTTGAATTATATTGTATACTGTTGATTACTCAAGTGTATAATTGATTGAACGTAATACCATATATTTTTTTTAAAGCCTAAAACTTTTCTTTCTCCCCCGTCCCTAGGGTTGTGCTATGCCGAGTTCGGCGCCCGTGTGCCCAAGACTGGCTCCGCCTACACATATTCTTACGTCACAATCGGGGAGTTTTTCGCCTTTACGATTGGCTGGAGTATGATCATGGATAACATCATAGCCGGTGCTAGCGTAGGCAAGGCTTGGAGTGAATACCTGGATGCCATGCTGAATGCGACCATTAGTACGCACATCAAGGCGCATGTTGGTAAGAACTCCCAATTTAATTTGGAGTGAATTCCACAATAATTTAGAGTTGAATCAACTACAAATTAAATGATTCCCAAAATGACTCATAAAAAGGGAGAAAAATGGATGTCCAAAATCACCTCATCGCCTCCGAACTGCCAATTTGATATGTATCCCTTGGTTGCGTATGAGTGATGAGTCTTTTCACCGTGGAAGACCTTTTCAATCCTCAAGCACTATGACCTTTCTCATATCTCACCTTCAAGGCTTCTTTTCGTGTTAGATTTACATTGTTACCGTTCTGAGAGTTAAAGGTGATGTCGACCATTTGCACTTTTGAAATTGACGATGAAGTTCAGGTCAATACAAACAGTAATTGAATGAAAAGTTAGAATGATATTTAGTTACCCCAGCAAAATATTTCTTTAAGAAATGAACTTTTGCAGGGAGTAAGGAGCCTTTAAAGGTTAACGTATATTGCATAAATTTGACTTCTCTGTATTTTTTTGTTTAACTCTTTACTGAAAACTACGTGAATTGTTATTCTACCTGTCTTATTTGTATGAAAATCACACAATTATTTATTCATTTCAGACAGCTAACAATATTTTTAAATAATTGCATTTAGATTGCATATAAGTGACCTAATTATGAAAGTTAGTGAGAAAACCATGAAAACAAGCCTTTCAGTTGGAAACAAAGTACTTTCAATAGATTTCAAAATAATTGTTTGACAATTATTCGCGGTCACATTCTAGATTCTCAAGCAAAAACGTCACAGAAATATTAAACAGAACTCTTGATTAAACTTGTCATTTCGAATCGGACTTTTTTAATTGGTTTTGCAGATCGAGGTTGGATATCTTTAACACAAGAAGTGCACACTTCCCTCCTCTCCCTCCCTCTCTCTTCCTCTCCTCTGCCTCCCTCTCCCTTCCCCATTTCCCTGTCGCCCCCCTCTCCCTCCCTCTCTCTCACTCTCTCTCTCTCTCCCTTTCTCTCTTTCTCCCTTCTCCCTTTCCCTCTTTCACCCCTTTATCTTCCTTCCTATGTCGCTCACTCTCTCCCCTCCCTCCCTCTCTCTCTCTTTCTCCCTTCTACCTTCTCCCTCTCCCTCTTTCTCTTTCACCTCCTTCATCTTCCTTCCTATGTCTCTCCCTCTATTCCCTTGCCCTCCTCTCTCTCTCTCTCTCTCTCTCTCTCCCTCTCTCCACACCTATCTCTCACTACACCTATCTATCCCCTCCATCTCACGATATAGAACCAAGAGGTAAAATATGAATCATTAATAATAATATATCTCGCGTCCTTAATAAGTAGGTTGAACACATTTGACAATACTTCGCGGACGTGTGCTTAGTTTCCGGCCGACTTTTTACAGAAATCTCCCGAATCGAAGACTTTCTACCTAAATCAATAGCGCTGCATGATAAGAAGTTTGACCAATTTTACTCGTAATATCTTTTTGCTTACTTGTAATATTATAACAAAATATTACGAAACACAATACTCTAACCATTATTAATATGTACCTCAATAAAAAGTTAACTAGATTCGCCTTTCACTCCACGATTATTTTCTAATATATATTTTAGATTGTGTTTCACAGGAACCACAATCGCATAGACTTTGGAAAAGCAGTCTAAGGAAAATAGAAAATTCTCGTAGTGCTATGGTCACAAAGGTTCGTACGAACGATAATTTCGTACGAATCTCCCTGTTTTTCCATTGTCTTCCCGAATTTCTATTGTCTAAAAATCGTTCGTACGGCGTTCGTAGCCGTCCGTAATGGCATTTGTGACCGACGCTTTAGGTAATTACATTTAATACACAAATCTTGGAGTGCCTCGTACAAAATATTTAATTCACCTGTTATGAGTAATCATTAGTCAGAATATGAATTGCATACGTTACGTTGGTAGGACAAACAATAATATTTGTCGAACCCAGAAACAATTGATGTATGCAATTCGCATTCTGATTATTGACATACAATTCTTCATAACAGGTGAATGAAATAATTTGTAACATGGCACTTAACACAGGTTTGTGCAAACACATTGATTACAGTACGAAAATGGTTTATTTGATAGCATTGCCAATTACATGTGGAAATGAGCGGATGGTGAACTGGTGTATTGCGTAATCCAAACGTAATATCTATGGGTTGTACAATATGGTATGAAATATCCTTTTAGTTTATTTTCGAAAGTCATTGCGATCGTGTTTCTTCTGAATGAATTTAGAGTTACTCCAGGGAGTTGTAACACTGAGACTACTTTCTCGGGAAATAATGTTAACCTAAAGGGATTCGGTAACTTTGTCTTAGATCCTTTTAAAAAAATCCTTGATTTAGCTCATGCTGCAATGGTAATTATAAACGTTTATGTCAGTCAGAAACCCCATGACGTTTACAAACTGATCGCCTGTCTGATTATCAACATATTTATGATTGAAAATCGAAATCAAATTTTGCGTTTGCCAAACGGTTTTCATAACACTACAGTCTATTGGGAAAAAATGAGTATGGTAAAACCGGTCACCCAAAGGTTTTTACTTTTTCGATTTTACTTCTTGATCATTTTTTTTTAGGGCTTCAATATAACACCATATCACAGACACTGATAAAACGTAGGGCAGTGCATCTCAGATTTAACATTGTTAAACGATTCCTTTAATACTAGTCCTCAAGTTGAGCTGTTTTTTTCATTCTATTCGTTCACTCAGGAACGTTTAATTCAGCATGGTTCGGTGACTATCCTGATTTCTTGGCCTTCTGTCTCCTGATCGCCGTCACCATCATCATCGCCTTCGGTGCCAAGATGTCATCATCGGTCATGCTGGGTTTCACTGGCATCAACCTTATCGTCATCGTCTTCATTGTCGGTGCCGGAGCCTTCTTCGTCGAGGGAGAGAACTGGACTGGAGGCAAAGGCTTCTTTCCGTTTGGATTTTCTGGGGTAAGCGGTAACTCTGAATTCTATCTGTAGTGGCATTAAAAACTTTGGAACTAAATAACTTAAAGTACGAGAATTAGGAAAATCATTTGTTTATAAAATAAGTTTTGTACGTTAGACGTTTAAACTATGCGTAACACTTTCTTCCCTTCTTGTTATTTCTAAGATTGTAATAAGTCACTAGTTTTTTCTCTTATCACTATTGCGGCGTCCTGCCTTTGGTGAGATCGTGGTAGTTTATTATTTGTTGGGGGTAAAGTGCATTTTTTGGCAATGGTTAATTTCTCTGTCGTATTCCTTTCTTCTTCTTCTTCTTCTTCTTCTTCTTCTTCTTCTTCTCCTTCTCCTTCTTCTCTTTCTTCTTCTTCTTCTTCTTCTTCTTCTTCTCCTTCTTCTCCTTCTTCTTCTTCTTCTTCTTCTTCTTCTTCTCCTTCTTCTCCTTCTTTTTCTTCTCCTTCTTCTTCTTCTCCTTCTTCTCCTTCTTCTTCTTCTTCTTCTTCTTCTTCTCCTTCTTCTCCTTCTTCTTCTTCTTCTTCTTCTTCTTCTTCTCTTCTTCTCCTTCTCCTTCTTCTCCTCCTTCTTCTTCTTCTTCTTCTTCTTCTTCTTCTTCTTCTTCTTCTTCTTCTTCTTCTTCTTCTTCTTCTTCTTCTTCTTCATGTAAATAACAATCTTGCATCAGCATGCCCCCGACAATTAGATTGTATTTTCATTATTCGTTATATTTACCTCTATGTTTCATTTCTTCTTGTGTTTAGGTGTTAGCGGGTTCAGCTACATGTTTCTACGCATTTGTCGGTTTTGACGTCATAGCGACATCGGGTGAGGAGGCGCGCAACCCCAGCAAGGCCATACCATTCGCTATCATGTTGACCCTAATCATCTGTCTGGTCGCCTACGTGAGCGTGTCCGCCATCATGACCTTGATGGTTCGATACGATGACCTCGCCCCTTTCGCTCCACTAGCAGAAGTCTTCGACCAGCGCGGATTCACAGTCGCCAAGTACATCGTGTCGGTAGGGTCCCTGATTTCTCTCTCTACGTCCATGATGGGATCAATCTTCCCGCTTCCGCGAATCATCTACGCCATGGCCAAAGACGGCGTCATCTTCAAGTTCCTTGCGAAAGTCAATCCCCACTCCAATGTTCCAATCTATGCTGCTATTTCGGCTGGTTTGTTGACTGCCATCATGGCGTTGATCTTCAATCTAGAGCAGCTAGTGGAAATGATGTCCATTGGGACGCTGATGTCGTACACCCTGGTTGGTATCTGTGTCCTTCTCTTGAGATACAAACCTGGTATCATCGGCCTTGATAGGGAAGAAGCCAAACGACTTGGAGAAAAGCATAAGAAGAAGAAGCCGGCTGAAGAGACCGCTCTTGTGGGCCTGGCCGGATCAGAAGGGAAACACAAGACATACACTAACTTATCCCCAAATAGCGAGGAATTCGACATTATTCACGACGCAGAGGGCGCCACAGAGCCCGACCCGAAAGCAGCAGCCATGTCTGGAGAAAATTCCGGGCAAATTGAGCAGAGTATGACGAAGCAGTTGATAGATGAGCAATCAAAAGGAATTAGTTCTTCATCCAGTGGCGAGAACAAGCTTCCAAAAGAGCCAACTAAAGCGACCTACAAAAGTGTAGTCATATGTATCTCCATAATCTGTGTCGACTTTTTCCTCCTGAGCGCTGTTTTAGTTCTAGGTGAACAGGGTGTCCTAGAAGGCACCTGGTGGGCGATCACGCTCTTAGTTCTACTCATTGGTGTCGTCATGGTGCTACTGGTGGTCATAGAGAGGCAACCTCAGAATCGGATGGAGCTCTATTTCCGTACACCTTTTGTCCCCTACCTACCAATTCTTTCGGCCTTCTTCAATATATTCCTGATGTTTAAGCTTACTCAGGCCACGTGGATACGATTTGTAGTCTGGCTTGCTATAGGTAAGATGAATTCAAGCTGAGTATCGTAATCTAACGTTAATATTGAAAATACATTGTTTTCTCTTTTCATTGTTTAACAATAAAGACTAAATAAGAATTTCTTTCTTAATGATTTCCCTGTTCTATCCCCTAAACAACGTGTACTTAGATTTATTTGTATTAACATTTTTTTAATTTGCATTCTTAACATTTTTTTTTTTTTAACTACATGTATGTACTGATTTCCATATAACATCTCTAATCTAGTGCATTCCCTAGATTTCATAAGTCTCTTGATAAAGTATTATTACGATTTCGAAGTTTATTGTATAGGGTTCAGCATAAACCATTTCTCATTTTGTGTCATTTATCATTTCCCCCTTTGATCATCCCATTACCCAGGCCTGATGATCTACATTGGTTACGGGATGCGTCACAGTGTGGAGGAGACTGGTCAGGAGAGGCCACATCAAGGTCTGGATGAATCGGAAGCTGATGAGATCTCACTTTATGATGCCTCCAAGGAACCAAACCGACAGAGGACAGAACAAGATAGTCAACCGCCGCAGCCTTAGGCCATTGAGATGTATTTATTAAAGGCTCGACGGTCGAGTAGTGTCGCCGCCGTCGCCTTAGTTAGAAAAGAAAGTAGTCTCTCTCTCTCTCTCTCTCTCTCTCTCGATGTATTTTGACACTTTTCCCTCTAACCTTTTTATCCGCCCGTACCCAGGTCTCTCTCTCCCTTTCTCTCTCTCCCTTTCTCTCTCTCTCTTTCTCTCTCTCTCTCTCTCTCTCTACTGTTTCTATCTCTCTCACTCGCTTCCTTTCTATATGTTTCTGTGCCTGACCCTCCCCCTTTCTGTCTCTGTCGTCTCTTTGCCTCTGTCTCCCTCTCCCCTACCCTCTACTCACTCTCTCTCTCTCTCTCTCTCTCTGTCTCTCTGTCTCTCTCTCTCTCTCTCTCTCTCTGTGTGTGTCTCTCTCTCTGTGTCTCTCTCTCTCTTCGCTCTCTCTCTCTCTACCTATCTCTCTCTCTATCTCTCTCTCTATCAATCTCTCTATCTATCTATCTCTCTCTCTATCTCTATCCCTCTCTATCTCTATCTCTCTCTGTGTGTCTCTCTCTCTTCGCTCTCTCTCTCTTTTCGCTCTCTCTCTCTCTCTACTCTCACCCTCTCTTTCTCTCTCTCTCTTCCTCTCTCTCTCTATCTCTTTCTCCATTCCTCTTCTCTCTCCAGCCTGATATTTTTGTAACCCTCTACTCTCGGTTTCATTTTCTCTTTTTCCATTTGACTTTTACCATTTACCGTTTTATCATATTGTGTTGCCAATCTTGCCCACAAAACCATCAGTCTTGTTCAAGACCTGTATTAATTTATGTCCTTTTATGTCTATCCTTCGTGTATATCATCTTCTCTTTCTTCTGTTCCTCATATCAACTAGGTTTCCATTTCCCAATTAGTAAATTATCGTATGAAAGTTCATAACATGTCTAGTTTTTAGAGACAAATAGTGATAATGTACTACTGGAAGAGATTAATGTGAATTATGTGTGCTTAGCCAGATATGCATTACATCATCTTGTCAAATAGATAATATGAGGCGATCAGCTTACGAACTACTTACGTTCTAATTACGATCTGTTATGAGATTGTGCCGTTCCATTTTAGTTAGCAAGCCTTGTTACCTACTGACACAATCGTTTGATTTATCCGTCATGCGTTTACTTTTTTTGGTGAAAAGTACCAGTAACTTTTTTTTGTTTACTTCAGGAAGGGAAATTATGATTATACTTCCCTAAAAAATATTCTTAAAAAGATAAAAAATAAAAATAAATCAGCAAGATGTTTACTTGAACTATTTCCTGACCTATTTCAAGGTGCTATTCAGTGTTACCCACCTTTTCATGAAAAGCCTTCAAGCACAGAGAATTTCCCAAGACAATTTGTTTAATTTTCAATTAAAAAGAGAGAAAGATGACAAATGGAGGTATTTTCAGGGTTTTCTTTTAAATGCTTCACAAATTAAACGCTTTTCTTAACTATTTTAGTCTTGACTGTACTTTATATTACAGCCTTAAAAAGTATACATGGGATCAGAAAATGCGTAACTAAATATGTTGTATATCAAAGTTGTACTTAAATCATTGTCGTCATGTAAATGTATAGAAATTACAATTACAAGTCGGAAATGTTTGTATTGTGATAAACAGAAGTCGAACAAGAAGAGTAGCTCATTTATGTTAATTGAGGGTATGTGTGTTTACTGTGCAATGTATGACGAGTGAATAAATACATGTTTAAATTTATTTTAACAAAAGAATATTTTAAACAATTGAAATAATATTTACGATATGGAAAATTCTAAAGATAATGCATTGTATAAAATTATAATCTAAAATGTGTATTTTAGACAAAAATCTAAAAGTGGATGTGTGATAGACATGGTAAAGTTATTTTAGAACGTCCCGGTATACCGTCAGTGGGCTTGTTAATGAGGTTGTCTGTTTGTGTAGAAAAAGCAATCTGTCAGCTATTTTTGTAAAAAGTTTTATTGTAACTTATTATACTCTATTAGAATTGTTATAAGCAGTAGAATCAATTTCGCACGCCTTCGAAACCAACAACTAAGTGTTCATCAGTGGATGTGAAAATTCATTGCTAAATGACTGATATCAAGGAGCATCATTGGTTTGACCTCAGGAAGTCAGTGTTTATGGTTCAAATTTGACTATCTGCAAATACAGTACAAATACATTACAAATGTGTAACGTGTACGTCAATTTGAAATTAACGTTTGCTTATCTTGGGATTCTATACAACTTATACGTACAACTGTAGGCACAAAGAAATTGTACGTTATATTTTCAGATCGGGGTAAAGTCGATTTAATGTGAAATTGTATTCATTAAGTAGAAGTGATAATTATCCGAATTAATATGTGCGTGAAAGAGCAAGATAAAATACTTATTCTTTATCTGAACATTCTTAGTATGAATTTATAACACTGAAGAAATGCGGAAAGGGGACGGGGTCGGTGCTCGAATTATGGGACAGTGAGATGCAAGGGAAAAGGACTCAAAACAGGGGTACAAAATCCTATTTTCAAAACATAAACTACAATCGCATGCTGTATAGGATGCTCGTAATAGCAGCACGAGTAGTTATGAAAATAATTGAACTTTTTGATAAAAAGTAGAGTTATCATGGTTGTATTCGATGTATTTTATGTTGGTTAAGAATAATGTATACTAAATGTGCCGCGTGTCTCCATTTTAATAGCAGACCTAACTAACATTGTTCAATTTATGTATGTATTAATGTATTCAAATTACTGTATTATACCCGACTTATTTCGTCCTGTCGGGGCTTCACGTCTTCGGGTTACACGAACCTTTTGTGAATAATTAATGATTGTGAACATTACTTCTCGGTCAGTTGTCATCAATTATTAATAATTTTCCCGGCATCCAAAATGTACAAAGAGTTGGATGGTTTTAATTCTTTTTCAACCATTTTACATACAATACTAAGTGTTAAAAAACATAACAAACATATACCCAGTAGGAAGAATTGCTATTGAATGCTTGAGCGCCTTTTCATGGTAACTTGGATACAGCCGGGGTAATAATATGATTGCAGGGCCCTCAGGGAGAACAGTATTAATACTGATGAGGCTTCCCTGGATAAACAAGACATTACTATTATTATTATTTATAAGGAACTATATGTAATTAATCTAGTTTGTGACGTGTGATATGTAAAGAGAAAAAATTTATTTATGATTCCCGACATATATTTTGTATTCACACATTCATTTTCTTTATGTTCGGTGCTGACGCAATGCCATAATTTATGTCAGGATTAAATCAGAATTAATTAGTATTTACTTGTTTTAGGAGCTTGAGCTAGTGATTTGTACTTGTGTCTGGTTTACATGAATTGTGAGCTTCCTCTGATTTTATCTCCTTCAGAATTTTTCTTCAGTTTCAGGAATATAGTTTTCTTAATATAGGTACAGTATAACAAATATAGTTCTGTTCATTCTTTATGAAAGTATTTATAAGCAGCCGATAAAATCGTAGAACTCATCCTGCTCATAAAAGTTTGCATAGATTTGGCGACCAGCAAAAGCAAAACTAAGATGACGTTTACCCCATAATGTAATTAAACATTGATCACTTTTTATGTAAGTTGGTATAGCATTGACACCACTGTTAGGGGTCAGCTCTCTGTACTTGGCTACAAAATGATTCTGATCGGACCCAATTTCGAAACTAGGCCACGTTCTACGGATGGTGACGTCAAGGTCAATAATACATTCAATTTATACACGTTATTAAAAACAACAACAATAGAGTTAGTTTTTTTTCCATTTTTATTGCGACAAATAAACATCTTACATTTCAACAATTATCATCTAGACATAAAATAATCTGCTAAACTGTATATCTATCATATATCGTACTCTAACATGTCATATTATTCTATTAATTTTACAATAAACGATATACTCTTTATGATAATCATTCTTTTCTATTTTTACCACAACTGAAACAAGATCAAGATTCGCGAACGGAGTTGAATGGCAGAAATAAAATGGCAGAAGAGGAACTATTTTTTAAATGGCAGAAGAGGGCGCGATGACGAACTGGCATCGCTTATTAATTTAGCTTCGACTTGTGAAAGCAACCTGGCAGAGGAAAATTTAATCAAGTTTTGCATAATTGTATTCCGTGTCGGTTACTGATTGGGATGTATTATTACACTAAATGCCAATGATGCCAATTCGTAATGAATCAATGATAAAAATAAATTGTTAATTGATTTGAATGTTGATGAGAAGTCAAAATTCAATAAAAATCTAGAAATGGAGTGAGTTTCATAATCTTCCTTCTCTATAAAAGAATATTTACAAACCAAAATCGTGAATGGAAAGATAATACAAATATTTGAATCAAAATTAAAATACCATTCTATTTAAAACCGAATTAAACGTTTCGCAGATCAAAATGATAACTTATTCAATTTGTTCATACAAAACCTTATAAAAGTAACCTTTTAGTTTCTTGAAAAACGTTATTTGATGAATTCGTAAGCCACGACGATCTCTTTTAAATGATACAATATTTAGATTTAATTCCTTCCACCGCCATTTAATTTTACCATTCTCGTTACCTTTTCTCCAAACCAAAACTCTTTGACACAATACCATCTCTGTATTTACAAACCACATAAATATATTCAACCATTGCACTTAAAACTTTCACTTTAATAACCGATAAGCAGGACCTCTTTTCTCTTTGAAGATACTCATCATTATATACACATATAAAGATATATCAAATTAAAAATATACTATGACTACCGCAACATGAACTCATATAACATCATCAGAGTCACCGTTCTTCTGCAAAATTGTTTCACCATTTCCTTTTTCGTCTAGTTAACAGTTTCGCTTTATAAAACAGTGTTTGAAACGGTAGTATCAGTTTATTGTAAAGCGCATATCAAACCCTAGTATTAGCAAAGTGGTCAAGTATTATTACGCGTTAACATCATCAGACTCTTTTTATAGAAAGAGTTGCGATTAATTCGAATCTATCGCAACTCCTATCTCTTACAGTAATTACACAGTTGCGATTCGGTTTGAGTTTCGAATGATTTGATTCAATCGCAACTCTTCATAATATAGGGCCCAGGTATTCCCTTGTACTTGGTTGGAGAGTGGCATAATGCCTGATTAGATGCTATCGGTGCCTGGCTGGGATTCGAACCCTCGGCCTCTTGATTTAAAGTTAAGTGAGTGAATATCTATACTACGACACCTCCCCTGTTGGCTGCTAAGGAATCTGGACCACCATTGTATCATCATCAGTCTTTGAATTTACAGTCAAACCTGCTGTAGCGACCACCTGCTACAAAGACCACATTATCGGTTTCCCTTGAAAAGGGTTTCTCATCGAAGCTTGTATTAAAAGAACCCGTACATATAAAGACCACCTGCCTATAAAGACCAATTTTCTTGTCTCCCTTGGATGGTCTTTATAGACAGGTTTCACTGTACCATCTTCTCTGAGCGTACATCGTGGGATTTTAATCGCAATACTAGTAGTCTTGTGTGGAGGTATATATTTTTATTTGAATTTTATTGTAATCGCCTTTTCTTAAAACAACAACACCCTACAATGCGTTTCTTTTATACAGGTATCATCAACATCGAGGGTATAATCCAGATATTTTCATCCTATGTACGTATTTTGTCCACAAAACAAACACGTCATGTCACAATAGCTCAACTTTTTTCCAACTAATTTCAAGGTCTATAAACCACTTAAAGACGACATTCCTTATCAGATTATTTGTGACGTTCTTATCATTCAATAGAGAGAAATGAAACAAAACCTACTACATGTTCATTTTTAAAACTAAATAAATGAAATAACAAATGATTGACGATTAGACACAACGATTGATTTTGTTTCGTTAACATTTTTTTGTCATATGCCTCGGTGTTGAGGAACATGTAATTACTGTTGGAAAGCAATTTCATTACCATAATGTAAACGTGAATCTCTAAATATGGACGGTTATAGTGACAGGCTTCAGCCCATGAAAGAAACTAAGGTCCTACAGACCTCAAAGACCCACGAGACCGCTCTCCCCCCTCATTCCATGGAAATTAAAAGCTTTCTCAGAGACCTTATTAGCGTTATTGACCAGACCGAAACGCAGTTCCAAAAGCGAAGGTCTGCATTCCATGATAATAATGATAATATTCGGTTCTTGTATAGCGCATATTACTATTTGGTCTTGTCAGACTTTTCTCGTTGGCTTCTGGTTTTTTGGACCTGAGGTCAACTAAAATGCCGACATAGTGCTTCGCCCTTGGCATTTTAACCAGAAACAAACACTAGAAAACGGGAATGTATTTGCCTTTGATTAAGATTATGCGCATTTCCACTTGACTAGTTAAAAGAGTTACAAGAACATGATTAAATACAACACCACGTCAAATCTGCTCCTAAATAAATCAATGTTTTCGTCAACGGCACCATTCGCTTCTCTTATACTTTTTTGTATTATCCAGGCCACACCCACCTTACGTTTGGTGTTCACTTTTCACCAACTTCTATATTGTTTTTGCAGTCAAAGTATCCATCATTATGATCATATTCATTCAACGTCTTTAAAACCTTCCATCACTAAACATGTAAATATATATATAAATAGGTTGACAGCGCAAGGTTTAATTTGGCCACATAACCGTTAACACTCAGAGTGTTACACAGACACATAACGCACTCATGGTGCCCGTACAGACGACCAATAAAGCCTCGTTCAGACAAGATACCGTAAACCGCCGCGGCAAAACTTGACGTGTAAATAAATGGAGGGATGCAATATTTAGGTGGGGGGGGGGGGGGTAAAAAGCATCGCTGCATAGCAATACTTATGCATCAGTAGCATTGACACACAGTCACCAAACCAACCAAATTTCGGCAGTTGGGTTAATGCAAGTTTTAGCTCGACTGTAGTCGGTCTGGTGTTGGCCCCGTTGGTGTAAACGGTGTATTGCCGATGTGTATGCTATAAAAGAATCACGAAGCTCACTACGCTTATCTAAGTGAATTTTGCCGCTGCGCTTGTCTTTAAAGCGGTTTACGGATACATTGTGAACGAGGCTTTAGAAATGCATGGATACATCATGGTAGCTAACGGTAGTTATTCAGACATGAGTTTAAGGCGTCTCGAATTCATCGGAAGACGAAGCGGGGGCAGGTATACTGTCCTCGGGCTTGAGGGGCTCTGACGCTGAGTGGGCTGGAATAAGAACGGGAGCCGTGGACATCTGATCAAAAGAGAAAGAGAGAGAATATATATATATATATATATATATTTAATGTATTATCCTGTAACATCGAAGCCGGTAGCTTTTCTTCAGGGGCACGTTCCTATTTCCCCACCATCGAATGGCGAATATGAAAGGGAAACAAAGAAGGTACACTCTTAAAAATACGTGGTCAAAAAATGACCACGTTGTCGTCGTTTTTAAACGGTTTTTAAAGTGTCTTGGTCACAAGACACTCCCCTCCCTTGAATGGCCTTTTCATGTCGCATTCCATTCACCTAGAGTTTATCGACCCCACCCCCTTCTCCCCCTTCTCACTATGATGCCATCGCCCCTCGGTGACTGGGCCCACTCATATCCACCGACTAGAGCAATCAAATTAAGGGGACATATTGGATTGATTGATAGAATTAGAAGTGGTGCTCTCTTATTGTCTATGCAAAGAGATTCGATCATACACGTATGTTTGCTCAAAGACAAGGTACGTCTATTAATATGACAAAAAGTAAACAATAAGCATTAGCAAATTCACTGTGTAGGTGTTATACCGTTATAAAGAAGGTCAACAAAGAACCTTCAAAATATGTTAAATATAATATCTAAGTATTGGTTTACAACTAAAATGCATAACTGGGTTCGAGTATTAGATTCAATTAATTTTGCTTCAATACTCACATTTACATCATTTGTATCCATGAGAATCGCCTCTTTTCCATCTTTTCCATCTTTTCTCGTCGTATCGTGGAATCTTGTCTCAATGCTACTATTCCAAATACCATATCCAAAATAAATTAAAAGACCTGCAAAATATACACAATGGAAAAAAAAGTGGGTTAGCTAACGATAGATCGATAATTCTTCTTGCAATTTGGAAGGAAATAGCATAATCTTGAATATACACAGAGAGGCAAATGAACCATAAGAACGGTAAAAGTTCGTTGCGATTTACAGACGAACTTATGTAAACTAGAATTGTTCGTTTAATACTAAATGTATTTTCCCGGTACATAAAATGTTATACTTAATGCGTGATTTTAAATATACACCAGAAGTCATAATAGCGGATTTATTATAATATCATTTTACGAGAAGCATTACGGGATGTGTACAAAATTGTATTTTTTGGACATGCAGTTATAGAATCCAAGTTTTCTATGTTTATGTCCCTGCATTCGATATGTTTTTTTGTTGTTGACCTATTTTTTCTAACTCGGGGCTTCTAACTGGGTAAGCGTTGCCTCTTTTTTTCTCACCGCCACATTACATGTATTTTTCATTTTGCCCTGGGGTTTGAACGAGCCTTAATTCATACATTTTAAACAAAATAAAGTCCACCCTCACCTGCAATAAGCCAGATTGCAAACCGGATCCACGTAAGGTAGGAGAGCTTATGCATGAGATAAATGTTAACAAACATGGCGCACATGGGTAAGAAGGGCACGCAAGGAGCCATGAATTTAAGACGCTCTGGATTCTGCGGTAGTCGGATGATGTTGATGATGTTACCGAGAAGGAGCACGAAGAGGATGATCATGAAGATGACCGCCCACCAGTCAGAGATAAACCTTTGAGCTTGGACGATGAGGGTGCACATTAAGAACAGGACGATAAACATGAATAGCGTCGATAACGTCACGCTACGGCCGGTAGCCGCTGTCGGCAAGGCCGTCGTCTCTGGAAGCCCGAGCTTAACGCGGACGATATCAGCGTAGCAGTATGTCAGCTGCTTCGCGCGTGAGAGGTAGAAATTCCATTGGCTGTAGGTCCGGAACTCGTCGTCGGTTTCCTCGCCGACGGCTCCGTATTTCGGCTTCGAGCTATGGATCGGTGTCCCCTGTGCGTCCAGTTTTGGTAGCAACTGCTCGGGGCCCGCTTCCTGGAGCGTCGACCCCTGCGTAGTCGGGTCCGCCGTGGATATCGTTGACTCATTAGCTGGTGGGGCGCTGATCTCATCGTCGTCTTCGTTGTCGAGAGTGTCGTAAGCGAGTCCGGTGTTGATGGAGACTTGTAGTTCGACATGAGGCTGATAGCGGAGGATGAGGACGCACATGGAGACGAGGGTGTAGGCCAGGAGTGTCCCAATGGACATCATCTCAATCAGGTCACCCAAGCTTACTAAGAGAGCCATGATGGCTGCTAAGAAACCCGCGATGATTGTCGCTACCGCTGGTGTGTTGGTCACGACATTGATGTTTCCTAGAAACCTGAATGAATTATGACAGAAAGTATACTTATTTACAAAAAGTAGGAACTCTACTTCACAAGACCATGTTCACCCACACTTATAAATGCTGGGACAGTTGTACACAATACATTTCTATCACTCGTTGTCCGGTTTAAAGGCATTGGTATACTGGCACAATTTCGCAAAGAGGCTAAGGCCTCTTGCCAACATGAACATTTTTTAATAATGCGAGCGAACGAATCTAGTGAGCAAAACTTTGACAATAATTTCTAGTGATTTCGTAAAAGTACACTACACAATAAATTAAACAATAGAAAAAGACAACATAACTGTCCAAAATATGAGGTTATTGCCCGAATAGCGTTATCTCAAAAATTCCTCGAAGGCTGCACCCCTCCCCCCCCCCCGAAAAAAACACACAACAACAACACACAATTACATCTTGTATGCCTATGTAGAGGTGCAGCACTATGGTCTTAATCAAATTAATTCTTAATCAAGGTAATTCTTAAATTGGATGTCTCACCTGAACAGCAGTCCATCGGTAGCCATGGCATAGATGACTCTTGGCATTGGGAAGAGTGACCCTAGGAGACTGACGGTGAGCCCGGCGATGGAGCCGATGGCGACCACGTACTTGCCCGGCTCAGCATTGTTCTGTACGAACATGTCCATCAGAGGTGACTCCGAGCTGATGTCGTAGTATGGAACGCCAAGGGTCAATACGAAACTCACGCTCACGTATCCTATATTTTGATGAAAACAAGCATGTAATCAGTTTTGTACTATCAAGTCCACTCTTAGACTACTGGAGGTGTTTTTATAGGCAATTGTACAAGTCCGTGGTGTACGAGTCTTTATCATACATGGTCATAACAGGCATACACTACACCTGAACTATATCTTAATTACTAGCATTTCCCGGAGGGGGAGGGGGTGGCTTGACTATTTTAAACAGGGGTATATGAGAAAAAAAATTCCAAGAAGACTTTGCCGTTAGATTTGCAGTTCCCTAGCGACGTTGCAAAAGATTTCTGACAAACTCGAAAAAGAAAGAAATTCTCCATTTTGAAAGGGATTTCCCGAGAAGGCTCCCAACAACAAATAAGTGAAGGGTGGTTGTTATCTTCCTACCCCCCCCCCCCCGATCGACGCATGTTCTGGATTTTTTTTTTCTTCTTCAGTACTGCTTCTCAATAACATAAAAACTTACCAACAAGACAAATGAGAAGAGAGAGCATGATAGCTAGAGGTATGGAACGGCTTGGATTCTTGGACTCTTCACCAGTCGTTGCTATGATATCGAAACCAATAAAAGCGTAGAAACAGGTTGCAGCTCCAGTCATTACCTGTTGAAGAATATGATGGATGTACAATTATATTACATTATACTCATTAATGAGAAAGGAAATTGAGGTTGTACGGCGGCAATTTCTCAGCGATCAATTTCCTACACTTATGAAATTCCAAATTTCAACCCTGTAGGCCTACCAAAGACTCTACCTAAACATAATACTTAAAACCCAATTGCAAAATGAATCGTAACCCTGCGCCTTCGACAAAATAAAGCTCGGAGCAATCATTGTTTGAAAATAATGTTAGATCACCAAACATGATTTAGTGCTTCCCGTTTTCAACCTTCATTCTATGTTTTACCCCGTTATTATTATTTCCTCATGCAGATTTAGCTTTTCTTTTTTGCAACAGGCTTGTTACTCTATTTCATCATCTCAATAACACTCATTCAAGGTAGATGTAAAAAGCAAACAATTATTTTTCCAATCTCCTTCCAAATATTATCGCTATACTCCAATCTCGTCTCTCTTCCAGCCATTCATCTTTCCTCCAACTTTTTTCCACACATTGTCTCCTTTTTTGTCCACCTTCCTTTATCTACCCCTAAACCTACCCCAGAAAAGCCGAAAGGCAGAAATCCGTCCTCCGTCCAGTTGTCTCCCTTGATAAAGAAGAACCCAGCTACCAGTATGAATACCCACACTGCCATGTTGATCACGTTGAGGGCGTTGTTGAAGACGACTGATTTCTTGACCCCAGCAGCGACGATCAGGGTCATGATGACGGCGATGACTAGGGCGACGAGGTCAGGGTATGACTTCGCTGTTGGGAGAAAGAAGTTTGGTCGGGAAGAAAATATAAACTATTGTTTTGGGGAAGTGGTTTCAGAAGGGGCTGACGTTATGTTTTGACAGATTAAAAATGAGTAAGACTCGTATGTTGTATTTACCCCCAGAGTAAGAAATTATTATATAGTCTAGCAGGGTTTCATCTGTAATGTATACATAATAAACATGCGTCATTCGAAATATCAAATGGTGATTATTACTGTCGTTTGAATTGATACATTTTATTGTATAAGGCCTCTAAGTATCCTTTCCAATTATTCGGTTATGAAACAATAATTTCACCTGGCTTTAGCCCTACCAATTACTCTGAAAAGAAAATGTTATTACTCAATTTCAATCCAGCGGGTTGAATAGGCCTACCATTCTTGGATTTTGTAGTGTCAATTATCTTTTTAATTATTTTATGTTAATTCTTCAATTTCTAACACATTGATGAAATTTCATTATCATGGTTCATTCTTCAATGGAAAAAAAATGTGAGTTTCATATTTCTTACTATGAATCCCAAATTCGCCGACATTGTCTCTCATGAAAGTACTAATTTTGTTCCGAAAGAGGGAATCAAAACAGCTACTCAATGCGCTTGCGCCGGCCGCTGTACCAATCAGATACTCCAGAATCAGATTCCAACCAATAATAAACGCTGTGAACTCGCCCACTGTGACGTAACTGTACATGTAGGCGGAGCCTGTTGTCTTGGGAACGCGAACGCCGAACTCTCCGTAACATACACCTGTAAAATACAATAAAGAGTGGGAGAAAGAAAAAGAAGATTACAATGGCTGTAATAAGTGATATATTTTATAGTTCGCGCAATATTTTCTCGCGAATAACTAAAAGCTTTGACATCTGAAGTATTCAGCTCTCAAAATATACCCCCCTCCCTCCAAAAAGATCTATAACAAAAAAAATGCGTACTTGCTAGAAGTATTCTGAAAAATCAGACATGATTTAGGTACAGCTTCAATTATGTATAGGAGGTATTACATCTTGAAAGATTAAGGTTCAAATTTGCTGGTCGGTTCATTCACCCATTCCTCTCATTTCCGGGGGAAGAGGTAAAATTAACATTCCTAGACCAGATTAGCTGAATCTTTTACATGTTTTGGGCTGTATCCTTTATTCCTCAAAGGTGCAAACTCGTATCTTTGTAGTTCTAACATTGCATCCCTTTCAGGGTGATTAGTAAGTATTAAGGTTGTAACTAGTACCTTATTTTAAGCATTTAGGGATGACGTTTTGTCCTATTGGCGTGCAAATTTGAACCTTCATTTTTCAAGACGTAATGTAATTATGCACCAACAAAAAGCCCACGGCACAAATAAACCTCTGTCGGGATTTGATGAGGTTCGCGCATCATACGAGACGAGCGCCTCCTATCATTGGTACCCATAGGAATGGGGTGACTTGTCAATTTCAGAGAGGTGGCGATCAGGTGTCATCTTCACAGACACCATAGAGAGTTGTAGAGTCCATCCACACACCATCATTTATGCTCTCTCATTCCATCGAGGTTACAGTACCATATGGCAGATTCTATATTTTCAGAAGAAACATGTATTTAGGCCTATATGGTTCACCAAAAACGAGTATGCGAGAATTGATATAAATTGATTATTACCAGGTCTTTTAAAATCGGTTCACTCTTACGGCCTGAAAAATTGTTTTATATTTATGATCTCATAATTTGTCTTTTGCATCTTCTTTGTATTGATTTATATATAAATCTTATGTATGTTTATGTATATTTGTTTTATTTTTTTGTATAATACTGTCAAGTAATGAGGAGAGCCTTCTACATAAACTTTATTTTGGTAATCACAAGGCATTATTTGATTTATGTTTTCCTTTTATTACATTTATTATTGTACTTCGTTTTCTTGTATAATACATGTTGTTTTTGTTATGCTCCTTAATGTTCCTGAAATAAAATAAAATTAATATGAAATGAAAAATCGTAGCAATCAAGATTTGTTCGTGTTGGAAATTAGAGCTCTCGCAGTAAGCTTCATCAAAATCAAACTATAATCAATATGAACCAAGGTCCAAGTGAGAGTTTAGACATTTACGAGGCTGGATCGTCGACAGAAAACCATTTAAATACATTCCTTTCATGAAATATTGCAGGCTCGTGTCTGACAATCACTTAATGCTTCGGAAAGGATTTGTTTAAACAGCTTCCTTTATAGTATTCTGATGCCAAGCCCTTTTTCATAACATCTAATATTCTTGACATTCTGACAAGGATAATGAAGAATATGCTTATATCGTCGAGACCGATTTAAGACGGATAGCATCTACAAAACATAAATTACATTAACCCAAATGTCATCTAACCACACACAAAATTGGTTAGTTTAGACTTTAGAGTATATCGGTGAAATACATGTACAAGTAAGTAGACCATTTTTGATGTATATATATTTACAAAATGATTTTTACTCGTGTCGTGACACTCGTTGAGTTAAACACCTACTGTATATCTCTCTACCCTGGTTTTGGAAAGGGCAAGGGAAAAAACTCAGAAATTTGATTGAATTGGAAAATGTCCTCCGTGGGTTTGTACATGTACATGTATGCACCCACTGTCCCAGCTCTTGCACACACCCATGACATTTACGCCTCCATAATAAACTGAAGCCTTGTCCTATACATTTAAAACGTGTATTCACCGTGGTGTCTCTTCTAATAATTTATAAGGATTCCATCGCGAGTCTATCCACATTTTTGTATTGATTGCGCTGGAGGTTGTACACCCTCGCCATCCTATCCCATATTCTCGTGATCTGTTGATCGAGCAAAATAAATTATTGGGAGGAGTCGGATGCTTGGCTTCTTATAATTTTGTTGCACTCAAGCAGATTAAAATGGTCGGTGATAAATCTACTTAAACGGCAATGCAGGCGGCTCTTGGGGAGATAAGCGAACGTGTTCAATTTGGTTAATTTCAACCTCGTCTATAGGGATACGTGTATGTGTTTAGTGTGCTTCAATTTGTAGTGAGAATCTGTCATAGTTGTAAGAACGTAAGACATATCCTTTATAGCGGAAGACTTCCTATTTAGAGGTGAAAATTTGAAAAGACGAGTAAGGTCTTCGATCTAAAATTAGATCGTTGAAAATTGCTCGCAAACAAATTTATGAACGAAAATTTCCATAATCTAATGGGAACCTAAAATAGACTTGGAATATAATTAAATAAATACTTGGACATACTGGTAACAAGATGATCTAAAGGCTACGTTTACTGGCAGGTGTCCTTTTACCAATTAGTGGAAGATGATGTGAAAACTAAAATGGCATTGGTTAAAAGTACCAACAATTATATCCTACATTTATGATGAATTTAGATCCATTTTTATCTTGGCCCGGTACTTTTTGCTTCTCTGCGAACATGGTGAGATGTATATTGCAAATACATCTCATGATTTCTAATCAGTGATAAACAAAACAATGCAAAGTGGTCCGACATTCTTATTATTAATGCTTCAATGTTTGGTGTCTTCATTATTCAAACGCTATACAAGGATGAATAGCATATATGCGATTAGTTTTATATACTTCAATAAAAGGCCCATTATTACTCCATCAGCAATATAATCGATTTTGTTAAAGGTCAATTGGTCTAATGAAATTTGACACAAGACATTATAACGCTTAAAGTATACAGTATCAGGCTAAGTGTTTGTCGTTCGGGATTAGCATGGTGTTTTATTTCATTCAAATGGTGCAAGCACGGTGCGTTGGTGTGGCCTGTTTTCGAGTAATATACGCCCTTTTTTGTTCGGTCTGATCGCAGGGACTGTGAGATATAGGTCAAGACTCGGTTTGTCTGGAACCTGTTCAAACTTTAGTCACATCGCCAGCCGACTCCACATTGTCTCAAAACTAACCGATTCATGACGATTCGTTGTAATGCAATTTTTGTTCGGTCTGTGATCGGCCTGGTGTCGGTTTGGTGTCGGTCTGGTGTCGGTCTGGTGTCGGTCTGTTGTCGGTCTAGTTGGTGTGACCTGGTATAATGGTCTAGGATCGGTAAGTTTGGAGTCTGTTTAACGGTGTGAATGAGGTTTAATAATAATATTGTGGACTGTCCGACAATTCGGCCTACGTTCCTTATTGGACGATGATGCCCTATATAGAAATGGTAATTAGATAGAGTAATGAACCGGCTAGCCAGCTGCAGACTTCACGCCGAATTAACCTTCGTCTTCCAAAGATGTGGAAGTCGTATTCACTCGAATGGATTGTATGAAAGAGGACAAGAATGGATAGAGAAACGAGGAAGATAATGGATAGGGGACAATGTGATCCACTCTCATCATGCATGTACAGGGGTGAGAGTCTTGATAGGGATTAATGCGTTGAAGTGGATACCTACGATTAAAAATATAGTGGAATACCCTCACAAAACTTGTTAGGATTAAAGCTGTCTTCCTTGTTCTGAAAATGTTATATTCTCTGTTCAATCGTTTATGTATTACTTGAGTATATTCGTTGGTATGACAACAAGAAATGAATATAAGAGAAGAAAATTAATGCAAGTTTGAATTGAAAAGGGTATTTCAATCACTAATGTAGAGTGGTTTCAATTTAAAAGAAGTGTTCTTTTATATATGACTCCTGAAAAGTGGATTTTTACTCCGGTGTATTCAGAGAACAAAGACAAGTTACATAGCTAGATAGAAAAAACTATATTTACTAAGAAAATGGCGATGAATAGAGAAAAGAGATGGAGGGAGAGATAGTGAAAGGTTAGAAAAAAGGAATGGTGTAAGATAGACCTAAACTATCTTTTTTCTTCTTTACTGAATTCAAAGGCAAGCCATCAAAACCAACATAGGAAGTTCCCTAGGCTTCTTTAAACAAGGATAACCCAACAACAAAGCATCTAACACCTGCTCTAGTCATTCATTACACTCAATCTCTTGAGGCAAAGTAAAAAATTATACCAGCTTTTTCCCCTTATTTCTGCGTTATTAGAATAATAAGCTACCATAGGCAAACACCTGCTGCAAAGAGATGATTTCGAATATGATATAGGAATATCATTCCAAAGAAAAAAATACATTTCGACAAAAAAGTATAGTTTTTAAATTTAAAGGCAGCATATGACGCTTGTCGCGGTTGATGTCAGGCAATGTTGTGGATGAAATTATAAGGTTTAGTTAAAGTATGAATGTATTGCACGTTGAACTGCAAAAGTTTACATCAGTGAAATATATCATGACGTCCTGTATTACGTTCCCTAACAACAGTGCCGAGTATGCATTAAATATTGGCCTCAATTAAATTTGTTATGATTGTCTGTTAAAGAGAAGATTCATTGATTTAACAAACTAACTTTAATGTCATTATTGCAAAGGTGACACATTGATTGGCCAATGTTATCAAAAGCCAATGCTTGGAAACATTCAAAGTAATGATTATTAACAATTACAAAACGCTTAGATACAGCCCCGACATAGCGCCTGAAAAGCTCTCCGGTCGCTGCTGAAATATATGACGTCTTATGTTGAACATGATGTTCACAAGCAGACGATGTCCCATGACATCTCACACAATTTCAGTGCCTGTTTAATCATCTTTTCTTCAGTTATTTCTCTTACTTCAATACCCTCAGGCGAAATGTTTAATATATTGCCTCACTCTAAACCCCGTGCATGGTATTATTTTGATGAAAAATGCAAGGGAAAAAAAAGAAAAAGGAATCAGCCGCTTGTAAACAAAATA